AATGACACAGGGAAGGACATTTAACAAAGGTTAGCTGATGGATGTGTGGAGGGAACATTGCAGGTCAAGGTCAGTGCCACAACCCCTGAGAGCACAATGGTAATCTTTTAGCACCTATATAGTGCAACAACATTTCCTTCACATGTCACTTTAATGAAACAACAAATAAGGTTGACCAATTTCAAGGTGTGCAAGATGCAGAAGTACAAGATGTGGATGTCCAACCAGCAAAGTCCCGTCCATCTTCCAGCAGCAGTTTTTTGTACAGAGCAAACACCTTCTCTTCAGTCGTCTTTGGCTCTTCCTCCTCTGTGGAACACTGAAAGAACATTGGGGTCACTGATTCAATTACCGGAGGCATGATTTTGCCCTGTGTGTGTTTCACTTCGTGATTCAAAAAAATATTTCTTCAGACTTGATAAAATTACACTTTTATTGACTGCCTCCTGAATCTAACTGTGTGGAGCATGTACTCTCTAGTGGGCATTAGGAAGCATGGCAGCATGTACAAATGACAGTGAACCAGGAAGACTCATTCTCATTCTTCATACCTTGTACCCTACCATTGTGCCCTTTATATTTTCACTGTGTCACTTTGTTTGCATGGCTATCAAAAACGTTATGTAACACTGTAAAAACAAGGTCTTCATCTATACATCATGTATGTATAATGCACTGTACCTTTGAGTTGATTCAAGCTGTGAGCACTGAGAATTTGGCCGCATATGACCATCACAAGCAGGGTGTAACCTGGGATCCAAGCGCGTAACATCTCTGTAACTGTAATCTCTGCAAAAACCTTATAAAAAGATACGATTAAGATAAGATTAAAAAAAGAAAAGTTAAACTTTAAATGCAAATAAAATATTGTCAACAGTCTATCGAATCAGATTAATTAGATGTAATTACACATTGCAACTAGAATTAAAATTAATTAATAAAATTGCTTAAATTGTTTGGTCGTATGATTAGGCAATGTAGGCAAAGCATTGTCCCTACATTGCAGTAACAATGTAAAATGGATGACTGAAACATGTTGATTTAAATATATGTATAATATATATTCATATATATTTAAATTTCAGGTTTCACTTTAGCATCACTAAATTTAGTTTAATTGCTTTGGAAAAAATGATTTCTAAAGCATTTAGCCCAAACACCTGAACTCAAACCAGAATTAAGGCATTAAGGAGAGGAGGGAGTCATCCACAGGGGGCAGGTGCCTGCAGGTGTGTGTGTGTGTGTGTGTGTACCTGTTTCATTGCATTGATTTTTCTGTCATCTAATTGCGTGACAAGCTGCCTGCCTCCATCCATCGTTATCTCTGTTGCATGATCTTGCCCCCAGCTGCTGTGAACTAGCGACTGATTGGACTGTTGACATACACGACTCTGCATGCACTACACGCTGACATTCCCACTATATAGAAGTCATAGACAGTTAGGAAATGATGTGACGACAGCATCAGATGCTCTTCTGATCCTACTGGTTGTGTGCAATCATCATCAGGAGATCTGAAATCACAGCCAAGGACGAGGTGACAAGATGTTTACATACAATCACTGTGGACAAGCCTTGTCCCATTTGAGACCTCCACAAACTAGCCAAGCAAGTTTAGGATTTGTATTATTTGGGCCTCATCAACAACAGTTTCCAACTCAGTCCAAGGTCTCAACAAAACCATACAACATCAGTGAAAATTGAAGATTAGAGGAAAAAGAGGTGTAGATTATTTTACATTTACAAAACAGAAGAGAAACTAACAGTTTATCTTCCTCCTGAGGCACTAATTCAGACCTCTACTCATAGACCAACATAAATGGCCTATGTACCCAAACAAGCAATGCTTTGGGTTTGTAGAAGTGTGGGCTTATGATAGTGACCTCAGCAGAACAACAATTGTTCCAGTGAAGGACAAGTATGAGAGAAAAACAGCATCACGTTTCAGTAGTCCATGCTTAGAAAGTAGGCTGTTATCTTGTGTGTGTGTGTGTGTGTGTGTGTGTGTGTGTTTGTGAGTGTGTGTGTCAGAGAAAAAGACAGACAGAACAACAGGAATGATGTGAATCCTCCCCACGTGCAAAAAAGGCAGGACCATCTGTTCATAAGTGTTTAGCTGTACGTGTGTGTGTGTGTGTGTGTTCACGCGTGCGTGTGTGTGGCTTTGAGTGTGCAGTACTTACCTACAACAAAAAACGTCAAGTGTCACCGCACGTGCTATGAAGTCTTTGGGGCCACACTGGAGTGAAAATGGCTGCAGTTTCCTGCAATGTGAACTTCCCAGCACGCGAAGCAGAAATTTCTGACTACCTCGCTAGAGAGACAGAAAACAATATGTATTCTTTCACGTTCAGTCCTTTGATGGCATTGTATTTTCACAGATGTTAGTCAAATAAAATTAGCTTCATTGGCATTAATCATAGTATTCATAAAGGATTGTTGCCAGAGCAAAACATAACATTTCTACTCAGTGGATAGCAATTGATAACAATATCAACCATATTGTATGTGACAGATAATATCTGCATGTCAGGAAACAGAACAACTCATCAAAATAAGTCAAATAAACACACATTTAGAATAAGAAGGAGACGATTTATGAAAATAAAGTGTGAACTAATTTCCTATATAAGCCTATAGGCTAAGTCTTTACTCTTGTACAGAGAAACTGACTGTAGAGTAGTAAAGCATGGAAGCCAAGCAGCCAAACAGAGCTCTGTTAGAGTGAAACAAAAGTCTGATTGTACATTTTTCTGTAGATTACAGGACTAGTATAGCTCTACAGTGCAAAATTGATGACTGTCTGCTGGGAAAGAGAAGGCTGGCTCTACCTCTCTCTGAATTAAAGGACCCATTTTTTGAAAAATACTAACAATTTCAAGAGGTAAACCTGACCCCAACATCACTGTGTTGTATGTGTACTGTGACAGCAGAACAATTGACAGGCATGGCAACGGTAACTAAAGGGGTAAAATATTTATGATACTGATAAAACAGTGTTCTTTTTGATGGGTTTTAAGAAAGAAGTATACACACACTGATTAATGTTAGCTGGAAGTACATGTTTTCCTTGGAGCAGATGATGAGTGAGCTTACAGCTTTACAAGCTTTGTTGTGGTTTGTTCAGGTGAATTGATGCAGCAGCTGTATGGAGAGCCACTTTCACCACTCAACCCTTGAATGGCATAATAGAAGAAAAGGTTACAGGTCTTCAGGTGATTATACATTTCATTAGTCCATTGAATATTACAATTTAGTGGATATTAGCCTTCCATTCATGTGTTTTTAAAAGCAGTTCTTTTTATTTAAAAAAAAAATGGTTTTGTATGTGTTCCCCAAATCTCTGAGCTTCTGCCTGACCGTGGCACAAACATTGTTCTGAGGCATTCAGCCGTCATGACTCACATGTCCACACCCCACATCTTTACAAAGGTACTCAATCAGGGCTCTGTGAGTAAAAAAAACTACTCTCACTTGTTTTCTTTTTGAGAAAAAAGCACATGAGATCTTTGTGGTGACGTGGTGTGATTATCACATTTAATGTGTAAAGAGGTTTGAGAGTTTTATCACTACTTTTAGGTGACAGCGTGGGAGGGGTGTTAATCCATTTATCATTGCACATGAGAAGCAGTGTCATTTTATTTAGCTTGTTACAAATGGGCACACAGGTGAAAAAAATGCTCATAGGTAGGGATCATGTGAGGTCCAACATGTCCTCATATCTAAATGACAAAACAGGTTGATTGTCAATTGTCCCTAAAGGAAATATATGTCTGTTGTAAAGCACCAAGACATATAGCCTATGGATGTTTCCAAAAACCACATGGCCGTTGGAAAGTACCAGCCCAGCAATAGGCCTACTGGATCTTTAGTGCGTTATGTAAGTCACACAATGTTAAACATGAGGTTAATGTTGTGAAACAGGTTACTTGCCTCAAAACCACTTGGTTAGGCTAGGTAAGATCATGGTTTTGGTTAAAATAAGTACCCCATGTTATAAGTCATGACTTTACTTACCTACGTGACGTTATTTGACTTTAAATTTTAAATAAATCAAACTTGATTTGATTTCACACTGCAGTCAACCCATCACCTCCTCTATCCACCCGAAACACCTCTCTAAATTTACTTTCTTGCTCTTTATACTACATCACCTGGCACCCTCCATTGCAACTGTCATTAGTCCACTAGAGGTCACAGCCTATATAATAATGGTAAGTGTGGGTTCAAATAAGCTGCCACACAATCTTATATAGCCTTTTTTCATGTAAGGACATTCTGTGAGGTCTGTTGTGAATGTAAAGTCTGAGTGGTCTGATGTCTGCTGCTCAAATGATTCCCAATTCAAAAGCAGTGCCCATGGAAACTCTACCTCCAGCAGGAGGTACTACAAAGTGATAAATGTGTTCAAGGTATCTTTGTTATTAACATCAAGTGATTAAACTGTATGTGGTATCATTACAATGCAACTTTGTAACTTTTATTTGTTAACAGTCATCATGGACGTGAAAGCTACGTAACTTGTGTGGAGGCCTGTATCTGAGAGGTCATTTATAGAGTAGTGTAGGATGGGAAGACTGGAAACCTCTTGCTTTAATCTGGGTGTTTAGGATGTGTGGGATTCAGGCTGTGGACTTCTGGCAATCATGACTGCAGCATAACACACACACACACACACACACACACACACACACAAACCAGAAGGTTTTTAAAAAAGAATGGGTGAGAGAAAGAGTTGCTAACTAATAGATTTCTGAATAGGTTATGCAATAGTCATACAATAATCAAATCAAGTTCCTGACTCAACATCCTCCCACTTTCTCCTTCACAGTTGTGTGAATTCTCCAACACATATAGCCTACACAAATAGATAGATAGATAGATGGATAGATAGATAGATAGATAGATAGATAGACTTTTCCCACCCACGCGCACTACGCAGCTTCTTGTATTAATAAACAAGGCATTATGTTATTAAAAATATTTTATTTCGAAAAACATCATCTCAAGTGCATGTAATGACACAACGATACTGCATTATGTTTAAATGAAAATCCGTACTTTATTCGTTGTTTTAGTCGCTCTGTAACATTCTCACGTCTCAGTGCATTTGTCTCTCACTGAATCTGACATTTTTCCAGCGCTTTGCCGGGCTTTCTTGCCGTATGTGGCCCAATGACTTGTCTGAGATCCGTGCTAAAACTCGGCCGACGGGCCAGTGGGTACAGGGCGCCGCAGGGATCGTCGCGCCGCGGGGTCTGGCCGCCCTTACCCGGCAGACGCCCTGTCCGCATCGCCTGGTACGAACGGAGGGAGACTTTGCGGTGCTGAGACGGGCCAGTTTCAGCGGGAAGCCCGCCTCGCTTAGCCAAAGTCTCAAAGACTTGCTCTAAATTTGTGCTGTCTTTTGCAGACGTTTCAAAATAGGCGCAGTCATCGCCAAGGACTTGGAGCACCTCTGCCTTAGATATTTCTCTCTCAGACTCCAGGAGATCTACCTTGTTGGCGCAGACCACCAGGGGAACCCGCGGCTGTGCGCACGGCTCTGGCGCAGAGCATTTGGTGAGTTTGGATTTAGCAGCCAGAATCTCCGTTCGTAGGGTGCACACCTCTTCGAAGGAGCTCCGGTCATCTAGACTGAATACTAGAAGGAAAATGTCTCCTGCAAAAAAACAAACAAACATTAAGATGGAAATTAAATCAATGAGTTTCCTAATAATGTATTTTTAGGAATATATATATAGAAATAATTTTTACGCATGCACCACCAACTGACAAGCACTTGTAAATGTGTGCAGGACAGAGATGAGCCAATACGCACCAGTGAGGATAGACAGCCGCCGCTTGGCTGGAAAATCCCTCTCCCTGGATGCGTCCAGGATGTCAATTTGATAGGTCTCTCCGCGGATACGAAACAGTTTCCTGAGGAAATCCTCGGAGGTGGGATTGTACTCCTCCACAAACCCGTCCCGAAGGTATCTTCTTAGGATGGATGTCTTGCCGACCCGTGGCGCACCAAGAACCACGATGCGCTTACAGTTCTGCGGCTTGGTGGAGGAAAGAGGGTCTTGTCGGTGATCGTGGCCGATCTTGGACTGACGGGTTTGACCGTGGAGAACCAGAGCAGCCAGTTGATCCAGTGGGGATCTCTTGCAGGGATGGCTGCTGCGCGTCTTCTTCTCCTGTTTCCACTGACACGTGGCCACTTTAAGTATCCCCAAGCCCGCTTTAATTCCCGATGAACTCAGGTGCTGCGATGCGTTTTTGTAAGCCAGTAAGACTTTGGAGGACCCGGTGCACTGCCCATCCATATTACCGTGAAACTGGGGACCATCTACGGTGGAGCAGCTGAGCTGGTGCGGAGCAGGAATGGAGGTGGTCTGTGCGCCGGAGGAGATACTGCCCATTTCCATCGTTGTGGGTGGTTGTGGTTCTGCGAGACAAATTGGACAGAATCTGTGATCTGACGTTTTATACGCCTGTGCTATCTTGCCTTTGGCTGATGTCAGTTGTCTTTATATAGGCTATCCTCAACCCCGTAGCTCATTCGCGTCATGCTGATTGGCAGAAGGGGATGTTGTGTTCTTCAGGAGAACACCGTTTTGAGCTCATAGGCTCAACTGAGCGACCAGGTTTTAGTCCACTTATCCTATACTATGCATGTTTCTGAAGCCCCTATAAAACTTGAAGTGTGCGTCCAATATGATCTAATAGCCTAAGCAATAGATTTTTATTAGGCCTATTATTATTATTATTATTATTATTATTATTATTATTATTATTATTATTATTATTATTATTATTATTGTTAGGCCTATTATTAGGCCTTTAAAGGTAGGCTTCTATTATTAGCCAACAAAATTTAAATAGGCCTATCACAAATCACACAGGGGCTTTACAGTCCATACAGCAGGAACCCTCCATCCGGATGAGGACCCCCCCTCCCCCCAAACCCTTTTAATGGAAAAAACCTAATTAGTAAACTTAATGTACATATGTTTTGTTTTCCATTATTCTGCTATTCTCACTTTTGCTATAGGCTATTAGGCATAGGTCTGATAACATAAAAAGAGAAAGATTTCTGCTTCATTTTGTTCTGTCTCAAATGCAGACAAATATCTTTTTAGATATAAAAATATAGTAACCTAGGCCGATATATAACTCTATCTAACTTTATTAGGCTATATGTTTGTTTTATTTATTATATATGTTAGGCTACCATATTTTAATTAACTATCCTATCTGTTAGGATCTGTGTGTGTAGCATGAAGGGACTACGAACTTTCCTTTCGTTAGCCTATTCAACCTTGTGTTGTAGCTTTAATGATAAATAGGCTAAACATCTTTGCATGTGTAAACTATTTTTGCCTTGCTCATGTTCCCATTTTTTTCCCTTTTCTTTTCTTCATACAGTAGGCAATGAGCTCATATCTTGTCCCAGATTTATTAGCCCTATAATTCTTTGTTTATTGTTGTTCCTGTTCTTGTTCTGTTCTTAAATAAGAATCTTATTTAACGGCTCTGGTTTCGAGGCGTCCCGTTGCCATAGTTACGGTTAGAGAAGGCTACCTGAAGCTGAAGAGAAGCTAGCTTGATTAGCACTTCTAACTGAGGCTATATTAGTTGTTCTTAACTATTGCTTTCGCGGTAGTTAGACCAAATGAGTCGCGGAGAGTCACCGGAAAAGGAGTTAAGAACTCTAAATCACCCAGGTCAGCCTACAACCTTCTGTGTCTCTATGTCTGCCTCTTCCCCTCCTCTCTTTAAGCTAACATTAAGCGTTTGTCACTGTGACCTCTTCACCTGCGCAGCCTCTCTTATTTTTATACAGTGGTAGAAGAAGAACTTAAGTAAAATTAGCAATACCACAGCAGTATGAAAATACAAGTCCTGCGTTCAAAAATGTAGCCTCGTCGAGTTCATTACCATTTAGTCATTTGGCATGTTAAAGTTAGGCTACTTTCATTTAACGTTAAGGACCAAACACAGCATCAATAAAGCATCAATACAGTAAGTACAAAAATATTAGCAACAAAAAGACTTAAAGCAGTGGCACATTTAATGGCAGATTATTATATTTTGTTGTCCCACACACACACACACACAACCAGTAACCTACCTCAAAATTGTGTCTACTACTTGAGCCTAAATTTGAGTACATGTGCCTACACTGTTAGAAATTTCTTGTAATTTTACAGGAAATTCCTGGCTAATAGTTGCCGTAAATTTACTGTAAACAGTATACAGGACTGTTATTGTAAAATAACTACAACAAGTACTGTACTTCCTGTAATTTCACAGGATATAATACTGTAAATATTACAGCAAAATTTTATATTTACGGCAACTCAGTAGCCAGGAATTTCCTGTAATTTTAGGGATTTTCTGTAATTTCACAGGATATAATACTGTAAATATTACAGCAAAATTTTATATTTACGGCAACTCAGTAGCCAGGAATTTCCTGTAATTTCACAGGACAGAATATTGTAAATATTACAATTAAATGTTGTAACTTGGATAAATGTTCTCTTTCAGACTTCTGCAAAGAAAAACAAAAAACTTTTTTTTTTTTTTATATATTTTTATTTTCTCTTAAAAAACAGAGTGCACAATGCACAAAGTATTAGTGTACCAAACTGGTTGAACATGAGTTGTCAAACATACTAATGTCCCCAATGTCCCCTGCCCACTAATGTCCTCTAATTTCCCCTGCCCACCAATTCAAAATCCAGCAGTTTCCTCAAAAGTGTGCAAACTGGTGCATTCAGCCCTCGCCTTTTCTCTGCCTTGCTGCCCGTCTGGGGATTTATGCCGCAAAAGGCTCTGAAAACAGGGGGGAAAAACACACTTATCAGGTAACATTTAAGACAGATATGACATGGTCATAACCATGACATGAAACATTAAGGGATCTTTATGAATGACTGAGTGCTTGTGTGTGTGAGACTGAGAGTCACTGTAGGCTATATGAGTATGTGTGTGTCTGTGGCTTGGCACGATCGATGCAAGGGTCTGCGATGCGAGTGCACCGGTTGGAGTGGTGTGCATCGGATAGAAATTGGGCTGAAACCGTGATGCATCTCCCTTTAAAAGCTTTGCATCAGTAAAATCTGCTTTCCTATTTTATATAGGCCTGTATATTTTTTTAATATTATTTTCATTCAATTTACTTTCATATTTACCTCAGCCATTTCCCAAACGAGCAGACTATTAGATGTGGAGGGGTAGGTCTATTTTCAGGTCTAAATTCATGAGCATTGTTTACAAATAGAAAGATCTCTAAACTGTGATTTTAACACCCGAGCTACAGCGGGCCTCTACACGCGAGTATTACGCTGAATTCTACGCACTCGTGGATTCAACCGATGTCAGCGATTCTGGCTACACCAGGAACGTGGACAGCGCAGACCCAGCACACGCGTGCTTTAAAATAGGAATTGGTTCTATTTTTCCACGCACTCGCACATCACGCATCTGTGAGTGAGAGAAAACTTTCATCTTGTTGGATAGCTGCACATTGTTATAGCTAGCAAACACAAGTCCAACCCTACTCTGCTTCTGATTGGCTAAACACGTTTTTTGTGTGTGAGAGCTGCCATAGGTTTTGGGGAACTCAAATGATAAACCTTTACGAATATCTATCCTGCTGAAAATTTCTTCACAACTGTGTCACGCCGGAGATCCGGCATGGTGCCGGAATACTTTAACCCCTGAGTATGTGCCTGTGAGAGATTGAGTGAGTGTCTGTGTGTGCGATCGTCAACCATCTCTCCCCATCCCCTCGCTCGTCCCCTTCTCACTAAATTGGATAGCATAATTAGATTTTTTTCTTATAACTGCAAAGCAATGTGTAAAATCTGATCACTCAAAATGCGAAGTAATATGCTTTTGTATTTGTATTAAGTGACTTACTGACATCCCAAACTCTAACAAAAAATGTAAATTACAGAAAAGTTCCCTTCATATATCAAGTCATTGCTTATGGAGGTATATTTGAAGAAGAAATTTGAAGTCTCAGAGAGAAATGTTTTAAGAGTTGCAAACTTGTAGACTTTTTTGTCTCTCCCACAAACACAACAGTTACACCTTCTCAAATTCTTCATTGCAGGTTCACAAATCCTATTCTACAAATCACAAATTAAGAAACTCGTACGCTCACATTTTGTATACGAGTTTCTTAATTTTAATACGTGTTTCTTAATTTAAGTTTCTCGTTTTTATGACAATGCCATTTTTAAACTCACCTCTGAATGAATTCAAGTGTGCTTGCGGCTTCTGCTGGATATTGCAAGTTGAAGACATAGTAGGCAGCGAAGACTGCTGCCAATCCATGCAGGAGGTTGCTGTGGGGCCCCATCACACATGCTCCTTCCATGGACATAACCCACATATCTGCACCGCGCAGTATCTCTCCTGAAACCCATTAACAATATGATAACTAAAAGCTGCACAACACACTATTGCCACCTACATGAATTCATTAATGTTCAAGTGGAGAAAGACTCGCACACCTCCACTTGAACATTATCTCCTTTGACCCCCGCACCCTCCATCAACAACTCAAAGAAAGACATTTTTTAGGCGCAACAGTCCTCCCTCAACCACATGAATTCATTAAAGAATTAACTTCTACAAAATAAGGGAAGATTATACCTGGTACAACTAATCGAGGTGTGCTTGGCAGACTGACAGCTCTCTCAATATCAGCAGCCGTGGCAGAGGGCTGGAGAATAAAAACCATAAGTTAACCATGAGTACGTTGAGTAAACAACGACAAAGAAAACTTGCCCCAAGAGCTGTAATGTTCTACTCAACACCAAGGGGAAAATCAGCTTCAATTTATGGTGCCAAATCTAGAAACAACTGCACATGGCAAATATTTATTTTAAATATGGATGCCATGTCAATAAAACAGTAAATTAAAATTATTTTATGAACTATATGGCAGGAAGCAATGGCTAACCCATCAGAGTATAGCCTGGATCAGACCACGGACTCAGCCCACTTCGCTAAGTAGGCTCCGTCTCGGGTCTGCATTCCCCATTCCGAGCAACAAGTACAGCCAGACCGGAAGAATGTTAGCCCAATGACCGCTGGGGGTGGACGGGACTAAACGTGATGAACCAATCAGCCCAGGGCCCATTTTCAAGCAATATCTGCCTGTGCGCTGACTGCCTCGGAGAACGGAGAATATAGATTGAGGCAGTTTTAGTAAAAAACAGACGGTTTACTGGAATAACTGCTCTGAAACCAGTACAGTATTCTGCATGGAGAGCTTTTTTAGAAGGGGCGACGTTTTGGAAATGGGAAGTTTTCTTTTGAAAAGGTATCTAAAGCCCTCCAACTTTGTAAACGCTTTGAATGAGACGGGTGTCAGACTGAAGCGCTAGCTTTGGTCTGATACTCAGGCTGTTCAGAGTCTATATAATATTAGAATAACTTGTGCAAAGTGTCCATAGCAAAGGATGGGGCTGGTGACTGATTTCTGGTAATTAACAATTACAAAATAGCAGGACGGAGATGGGAGGGAGAGAGTGAGGGAATGGTTAATTTATGGATATGCACTGCAAGTTATACTCACATCAGCCGTAAGGAAGATACCATCCCCCTCCTTGAAGTGAGCAAGCAGGCACATAATGGTGCAGATAGCTTTGTTGCCACTCTCTTCATCGTAGGCTTCCAGAACCTTCCCCACTCCTGGTGTCTTCTGCTGTTGGAAGTACTCTATGATGTTCTGACTCCTGTTGTCTATGGCAGCTGGCAGCTTCTCCTGGATTGGAATTCCGGTCAGTTCACTGAAATGCGAGAACAGGCCCTTCAAGGAGAAGAGAAAGGGCCAGTCATCCTTAATTTTTGAGACGCTGTGTGGAGGGTCAGCATTGAGATCACAACGCTGGAGAATGTAGGTTCTCTGAAGCCATCTCTGAAGCGCTCCTCTCTCCATGCCTGACATTCCTTCCTAGGGGTCGGGGGAGTCAAAATTTGGATGCATCAATACTCAAAAATAAAATGTAGGTTTGTGTCTAAGGATGCCTAAATATAATTTCCACTATTCCTACCTGGGCATATAGCTGCTGCATCTGAGTCTTCATCTCTTGTAGGGTTTCATCAGTCTCCCCTGAGGGGAGTTCTTGAGGTGCCCATCGGACACATCCATATTGATCAACGGGACCTCTTCCATTTGTCCTCGCCTGCCGATTGCTGTGCTTATTCTTCCTTAACCGTGCCAATGTGTTGTTTCGGTTGACATGCTCGATTCTGGTTTTTACTTGCTGGACGAGCGATGCCCCAGCTGTATTTTCATCATCATCCACATCCCCAAAACATGTGGGGTACTTCTGTATTATATCGTTTACAACTTTCAAACAGATCCCTCTATTTGGATTTGCATTGTGCACCCTCATTTGATCGACAAGCTCTCTGACCATCGCTCTTCTGGCAGCAGGATTCGGTCTAGTAGAATTTGCAATGGCTGACTGAATCTCTGGCGTCATCTTCTCCCAGTTAACCTTCAAGGATGCAAACAGAAAATGGCAAAAAAAAGAGAGGATACAAGGATATAAGCTTTTACGGGTGCATTTATAGTCAATTTCAGCATCAGACTCAAATGAAGCCCAATCTTATAACATAATCTGAGAAACAACAAACATCGGCCATTGCCATCGGCCACATTGCTATTTTGAACATCGGCATCGGCCCAGAATTTTGCCATTGGTGCATCCCTATTGAGTAGAATAGAAATATATTTTAGAAATCGCCAAGACCCGCCTCACCTTAAAATGTACAGGCCATGGTGTGCGTGGTGAGGGCATTGGGTTGGACGTTCGGGGTGTCTCAGGTGAGGAGAGTTGTGGACTTCCCACGGGGGACAGGGTGAGGAGTTGTGGACTTCCCACGGGGGACAGGGTTGAGGAGAGTTGTGGAGAGCCAGGAGGAGACAGGGCTGAGAAGGAACCTGAAAAAATATTTACCATTAGACCCCTATGATCCAGACATATTATGGTATATTTAAACACCAATCATATTTTCTATAAAATAAAACCATTAATTTTTCTTTTATTTCAAACTTTTTGTCGTGGTAGCCCCAAAAACAACTGTAGAAAGCCACCTGACAGCCAAGGTCATATCATGTCACGCTTCAAAAAAAAATTTGATTGGTGACAAGGGTGGGAATTCCATTTGGCCATCGATGTTGCAACTTTTAGGGCACAAAACAAAAGTGGATTTCACAATCTGCCAAACACATCAGTTAATACATCACGCCACAATCATACCATATAAAAAAAACAAATCACATGCTGAGGGTGCTTGGAGTGAATTTACAAACGCACCCTAGGTTTACAAGTTCAACTGTGAACATTTCGATGTGTAGCCTAATATACTTAGAATTAACAGTAACAGTTAAATCATTAAATAGGACGAAGGGTAAAAGTGCCTTGCATCCCTCCATGCAGATGACCACCCCCATCCCAGAACCACCCATAGAACCCGAACCACCCAACCTACGGTTACCTTGAGATGAAAAGGCACGGAGAAGCTTTCTAGACTGGACCACACGGAGAAAGGGCAGAAGATTTTCTTCACTTAGAAGGCTCACATCCTCCTTGTTCTCCACACCAAGTTCTTCCAGGCCTGCCATCAAGGTAGTTAGTGTGTCTGCGGGGAGGTCCGGGAGTACTGCCAAGACAGCCCTCCTGAGCTCCTCTTGTGCTGCAGCCATGTCTCTGCAAAGGAGTGATGGAGACAGATCATTGTAATGTCACACATTGTGTAGGCAGGCAAAGGATAATAATCCAGTAGATCATCATGCCTCATGCAAACAAACTGCTCTTGAGGTGTCCCCAAAACACTATAGACCCCAATGTCCCTCAACTTAACAAAACAATATTTTTCTGAGACAAATGACACAGAGCCATGGTGCACAATGACCAGCTCTATCTTGCCAACCTCCAACTCTTCTTCAGTTTTCCCCAGCAAAATAAACATGCCCTTTTTGTATGATGTGCCCTTCACCGTCACTGTGTGAGATGCTACTGTATCTTTAGATTCAAAATGCAAACCAACAACAGCCTCTCTGATTTTGTCGCTGTAGTCATTTACATAGAATGTCATCTCTTTATCCAGTAACACACTCGGCTGAAACATTTTACCTGCACTCAAGTATGCCTGGAAGAGCTGGTGTCTCTCTGCGACTGTCTTGCAGATGTTCTTGAAATTATGTAACTTCCTAGCACATCTTTTGAAGAATGTGTGCTTACTCTCAAACCTGAGAGTCCAAAGGCGAATAAGGGGACCAAAGTGTGTAATGAGCTCTGGATAATGAAGTAAATAGTGATGTTTGGGCTTCAGGGGCTCATTGGGAAAGAGCTGCCTTCGAAAGTAGATATACTCCTCAATGAGTATTTTAAGGTAAGCAACCTGATCTGTAGTGATTGCTGGTGCACAAATGAGCTCTACAATTTCTCTGAGCTGCAGCACAAGTTGCCAGGCACCATTCTCACATGGATTCCTAATCCTATCTCCTATCAGGAGAGGGAGCAAACGCAGGAAGCACCAGTTCTGGACTGCATGTCCACCAAGTCTTCTGCTACCTGGTGAAACATCGGCTGGTTTGTCCTGGGCATCATTTCCCTGATAGTTGAACTGATCTTTGCACCTGTTCAGTTGTGTATAGTTGAAATGTTTCTCCTCAACTAGATGACCAATCAACAAACTAAGGTCACAGGAAACAATGCCTTCAAACAGGTCATGGCCAAGACATGGGGGTAATCCAGGCTGGCAAACATGAAAGAAGGACAGTTGGTTAAAAGGAGAGTTTGACTTGATACCACATTCAGAATTTGTACCAGTGTTTTCTAATTCTTGTAGATGATTCAGAAAAGACTGTTCTGTACGCTTGTTGCCACATAATAATGGAGAGCTCTCAAAAATTGATCTTTTTATATCACAATACCTGCAGAAATAATGGCTCACACTAAAGTTCTCAACAAATCCGCCAATACAGTGAGACCCTAAATTGTCACCAGAAATAGCACACAGTCGACCTCTGACAATTTGTCCATTATTTATCTCAATGCCAGTTTCCTCAAGAGCTTTCAGGTCTTTAATGAGGGGCTCAAATACCTTGTCCATCCCAAAATATTTGAAGTCCTGCTCCTTACACAAGAGAACAAGCTGCATTTGATCTATGGATGATCTGTTATGAGGCAAAATATCTGTTAAAGTGAGATAAACTGCTAGAATCTTGTGTTTCTTTTTAGAAGAACCAAGTGGATTAACCACTTCAAATGCATCCTGATAAAGTATAAGACCAAGAGAAGATGGCTCCGCTTTAAATAAAGGGTTGCACTGAGCTCCCTTCCCGTCATTTACATCTTGGAAAATACCCTCTGATGATGGTGTGGAATGTGTTGCTGCATACTGTTCCTGCATGGACTTGCTTTTAAAAAGTGCAGCCAATGTTTCTTTAATAGGCACATACTGGGCAAACGATTCCTTACCTTTCTCATTGATACCTAATAACTGAGGCACCGGCTCAACATAATTAAAATGTTTTTTAAAAGCCGTCTTTCTTTTCTGGTCTGTGCTCAAAGGCCCACTGTTACAGGCTGTGAGGAGATCATCTTTTCTCATTTCATCCATAATGTTACTAATTGTGGCCTCTGGGATTCCAAGGACAGTTAGTTTCTCACTCAAGGTATTAAGCAGATTTGTCAGACTGACATGATGGACATCTTGATATCCCTCAATAATAGTTTGTATTGTAGTAGCCGGCAATAGTAGTTTAGCCTGAAGTTTTAGATAGAAAAGTGTGATATTCTGAAGAAAGACAGATTCATCAACTGCAACAGGTACTTCTTGCTCATCATCAGAATAATTAACGTTAGATGGTTCACACTCACTCACTGATTCACTGGCAACAGGTCTTTCTACATTAGAGGGGTTTTCTACATGTTCAGCACTGTCATTGCGGTGCTTCTTAGAAAGATGGGATGCAAAACTCGACAAAACAGAGAACCTTCTATCACATCCTCTAAATGGGCATTCAACGTGTAACCCTTCACGCAAATGTGACCTCAAGTGACAAACTAGTAAAGATGATGTTTCACACCTTACTGCACAAAAGTCACATTGTATAGGAGTACATGGTCGCTGACTATTCCTCAAAGGCACATCTGCTTTGTGGTCTCTGTACATGTGAGCTTTAAGTACAGGAATTTTAACATACTGTCTGGAGCATTCAGGCACACCACACTGATATCTGTAATTAGCACTATTACTATGCAACTTAATGTGCTGAGTAAACTCACAAACTCTATTAAATTCCTTACCACATGTGCTAAACTTGCAAGTGAACATTTTGGAATTGTGTGAAGCTTGCTAGCAGCTAGCTAACTTTAGTTGGCTGTTGGTCGAGCTCACCCTCACAACACGTGGTGGTTGTCTGAAAATGTTCGGCAAAACGGACAAAAAAACCCCGATAGAAATATATACGATAATGTTATAAAATCTGTTCTTGATATGCTTTAACAGTTATAAGAAGATAGCAAACATAGAAGCTACCTTTTTACGGCTAACTCACTGACAGGAGGCAGACGTGACGTTCTTCTCAGAAGTCAAGAGCGCAATAAAAAACTTACAAACAGAAAAATTGCTCAAATACTGACGTTCGAATAACGTTATTCCCTCCAAAAAAAACACATATATTCGAACATCTGGTTGCGCATTTTGCACATTACGTCAATTACAGCAGAAATTAATACCAAGAGACATAACTACTTGTAACGTTATAGGTAGTTTATTTAGGATTAAACCTATTTGGCAGCGTCAATCGCCAAGACCGCAGAGCAGACCTCACTCTCACTTTCGTCTCGCAGGCGCTCTTTCTCTAAATGACAGCCCTAAATGACAGTCGCGCTAGCTAGCCGATCCATCCAAACAGTGAAAAAACCATGTTGACGTTACTTCAGGCAGATTAAAAATAGCATCAGTTTGTGATGAACAAGGTAGCTAACGTTAGCAACTACCAGTACATACCTGATTTCATGGGACTGATGGAGGAAGAAGCGCGTTAATAATGTTAGCTACCTTATCATAAAAGCACCTATTTCTGCCCATGCCCTAACGTTATTTCCAATTTAGCTAAACCACAAGGGGACAGCCGACTTTATGTTAGCAAATCAAAGCAGACGAAACCGTCACCATCCAATCAGATTATCAGAAATAATAACGTTATATGATATAAAAAAGGGTAACAGTAAGTTACATAACGTGAAGTTAACTTACCTGCGTCCCAGAATGTTTGCTTCTTTTTTTCTTCTTGAACGATGTCCGTTCTCGAATGTCCGTTTAGAACTAACCGCCTAAAAATTCAAAATTCCGATCGCGGTGATTCCATGATGCAACGCGGTGCATGTAAAACCATTGTAAAACTCGGCGTGTACAGTGTAGTTACAATAATAATACAGGACTGTCCATTAATTTCCCATGATGCATTGCCACTTACAGTAAAAACACAAATACAATACATTGTTGTAAGATTTACTGTATAAATTACATCAATTGCTAACAGTGTACTTAGTTGCAACCCCCCACTGTTTTTTGAGAGTCAGAGTGGGAAGCAAGGAGTGGATCTGAAGCTTCAGTTTGGAGGCAGAACTACACAGAGTCTTAGCCAGAAAATAGGTCAATATCAGTGGCTTTTGATTGATTCTTTTGCAAATACATATCCTCCAAAGCGCTCTAGCAATTTCTTCCCTCAATGGCCAAGGGTATCTCTAAAGCAGAGCACTTACCTGAAAAACTGTACTGAGTCTGTGAAAGGGAAGATGGAGGAAGTGAAGCAAAACATTTATCAAAGCCAAGGACAAATAATTGGTATCGTGGCCATGGAAACTATAATCAGTCACTGTTGGATTAAAAGAAATTAACATAATTGCATAACCATGTCAATGTCCCAGGGTAATCGCTCATCTCTGTGTGTGTATGTGTGTGTGTGTGTGTGTGTGTGTGAGCACTGATGTATTTTGTGCACAACGAAATAGAACTTCTTTTCACTTTTTAAAATGTTAAAATCAAGGCATCGGTAATTACCAGCATGAATCATAATCTTTGTGTGTAGGGATTGTACAGAGAGATCTCATAGTTAAAAAGTATTTAAACGCCCAGTTTGACATAACATGGCATTACTCACACACACACACACACACACACACACTGTTGTCATTTTCTTGACCCTACTCCAGAGAACAAGAAGCTAAAAACGGAGGAGGAGCTGAACATCTCGGGTGATGACCAGTCCACGAAGTCTACTCCTAAGGGTGGACGTATCCAGACTCGGGACATTCACCCACGGGACCTCAATAACGTAAACCACCTTCATCCATATATAGTATTTACCATTAGTTGGACAATGACTTTATGACTTTAAAATACAAATAGTGTGTGTGGCATCAACTTCCATATTAAAGCAGTTGTTGTATGTCTAACTGAGTATGTGATGTAACAGCAGTTTCATATACCAAAGCCACCCAAGAGCCGTCAAAAACAGTGCTCATGGCTTGTGTGCGTAAGACACAGCCAGTTGATGGAGTTAGGAATGCTATGCAAGGGGCGGTGGCTCATGCAGGGAATCTGGAACCTGACTCTCAACCTCTGGACTACGCAGGTTAGTTGTATTCCTTTGCCCTTATGGATAAATAACATACTGCATATTGAATGTTTTGCCATAGTTAAAAAGAGGTATCCTACTCATAAAATGCATCCTTGAGGATTAATGTGCTGTTTTTGTTGTCCCTCTACTTCTCTTTTCATGGTTGGAAGGACTTCGGTTTGATGAGCATGGGATGATTCTGGCACACAGCATCCTGGGTAGTTTAGAGGATTTCAGAAGTTATTTGGAAGCCAAAGGGGAAACTGAGGTACATTGAGAAAATAATATAATGGGACACATGAAAGGCAAACATTTTTTACATACATTATTTAAAACGTATCAACCAAGGGCAGCTCACATTATGTAAACTAACAATTCAACAGCAGTACTTGGACTGTGTTACTATGTTAGTCACCTGTGGTTCCCTCTATCCTCCCTCCACCATGCAGTTGGTGAAACGAATACCAAAGTCCCACGCTGATACTTCATCTGAGACCCGTGGGAGGTATCACTCTGGACGTGGGATCCCTTCAGACCACAGAAACATCCAGAGTAATGCCCTGCAGCATTGGCATAAACATATGATGCAGCGCAGACAGCAGCAGGGCCTCTTATCTGGTGAGCTGATGAGAGTGCACAGAAACCTGCACCAGATGGAGATCAAATTTGCATTATTATTACTGTCCGTTTACAAATGCAGGGATGTGAGAAGCCACAATAAGCTAATTTACCATGTATTTAATAACATTAACAATAGACCAGTACCACACTGGCATTGTATTAGTTAAGAAAAAATATTTGAACCTGAATCAGGTGTTTATAAATGAAGAAACTATATAGCAGAATCCCAAGTGAGGTTTCTTATTTTAAGCAAATTGAAGAGCATTTTATTTGCTTATTTGTATTTGTAGCATTTGATTTCCTAAGCTTGCATTAATGTCTCTTGTCTGTCTGTATGTCTGTCTGTCTGTCTGTCTGTCTCTCTATTCATCTGCTGCACTTTTCAACTCTTTGAAGACTTGCTCGACAGACCAGTCGAAAACTTACTGATGAATCAAGATAACCGTTTCAGAGAAGCTCAGGAGCAGAAGGAGTTTCTAAACCAAAATATGCCACTCATCCAGTCTGGATATGTATGACACACATTTGCTTACTCTGGTTTACTTTCGTCAGTCATGCTCCTATGTCACACTAGTAATAGTTCTACAATAACTAAAATCTCTAAACCAGATTTTCTCTGTAGCTTCTTCATTCAAATGTATCGGGATTTCTTTGTCTTAGGGTTACCGAGTGGGCAGTGAGTTTTGGAGTCTCCCCCAGCACTACGGAGATGAAATGAGTGGCATCACAGCCACGCTGACAAAGACAGAGCAGGGCAAACGGGAACCTGTCACACATGTAGCGCAACCGAGGAGCATACGCCAGGAATCAGGTGCACACAAACATGTACAGCACGCCATGTCCAAGTTTTTTCCTTCAGCCATGTTCCCGACCCTGTTCCTTCTGATTGTGCATCTACATGAAACCTAGTGTTGTCCTAAAGAAATTTTAAAAATGTGTTGTGAAGTTGACAGTTAAACTGTCCACTTCTCCCTCTGATGAGACATTTTTAATAACCACACATCAAGAGCAATGCCAGAACATCTTCAAATAAGCTAATGGAAGAAGATGAATGGATAACAGAGGTAATGTAAACTGGTTGCATCCAAACAACAAAAGACAAAGAAGGGGGGACTCTAAACTGAGAGTAACTATGCTTTCTCTGATTCCCTCCTGTAGGAATAACTGAGACTCTACGTCCAGCTTCTCGGACTTGGGATCAGAGTGCATACCTGCAGCACCAGTGTCAGGCGCTCGGAGAGGTTCTAAGGGACGTGGACATCAAAAAGCCGGTAACACATATTTGTTACGGACAAGCCATATGGACAGTAGGAACATATAAATATATTTTGGTAGATCAGAATAGTCCCTACCAAAATATGAGTGAATGAAACACTATATTTATGTAGGCTACAGTGCTGTAGTTGGAGGGAAGTGGTTGGGGTAAATGGCGGACATACCAAGCGCAGGACTGTCAAACCAGAAGTTAGTGTTTACGTCCAGGCTCCTGTCTGTTGTAAGGTCTCTGCAACAAAAGCACTTCATTGGTCATGGTTAGGAAAGGATCATGATTTTGGTCGAAAGTCACTGCAGAATTTTTCTGTACTAGTGCCAGTGCCAGTGTCTATAAAAATGCTGAATAATGCTGTAGTCACTACTAAGTGGATAGTGTATTGCTAGATTGCGTTGGAAAATAAATAAATTGTCAGTGAACATTTTACTTATGTTCAGTGTTAAAATTTTTGCGACTTGCCATTTCCTCATTATGTTAATAGAAAACATAATTTGGTCAGCATTATGTTTTCCTCAAAACACAGACCTATGTGCTTTTGCAAACAAATTGTATATTAAATGTAATTTCTGGGAGACGGGACTGTATATGGACACACATCCTATGTTGTTGTTATTTAGCATTTCTGAGGCTATTGTAATGAAAAATCAGTTAGTTTTATTTTATAAAAATAATTTTCCTCTCAGTCACTTCATCCTGGTGTGGGTTGTTGTTTCCCTATGTATCTAGAGACTGAAACCTACGACCCTGCTATAAACATGTCAAAGTTGGAGGTGTGTGATGCCTCCAGCGTATCTTCTGGAGTTATTATCTAATCCTGTGCCCCTCCCCCCAGACAAAATCGAGACAACTGTACCCCCACCTTTTTGTTGCCTATATTTCTTTGCACTTTGGCAAATGGATTCCATTTATACCGAATTAGATGTTAGCAGTTAATTTCTGCAATGTACCCATAGCTGTACAGGTAACTATCGCTGGATTATACTTAAAACTGTGAGGCCAGGTGAAGGGA